AAAAATATTTAACACAAAAGAAGCCAGCAAAAGAGGAACAGAGGGACAAAAAAGACATGAGACAAACAGAAAGCAAACAGCAAAATGGCAGATGTAAGTCTGACCATATCAATTATTATATTAAGTGTGAATGAATTAAACTCTTTAATCAAAAGGCAATCATTATCAGCCTGGTTTAGAAAAGCAAGTTCCAACTATATGCTGCCTTTAAGAAAAATACTTTAGATTCAAAAACACAAATAGATGAAAAGAAAAATAATGGGAGAAAGACATATGCCATGCAAACAGTTATTATAAATACCTACATTAATATCAGAAAAAAATAGAATTTAAGACAAAAACATATTACTAAAGAGGGACATCAAGTAATGATAAAAGGACTAAAACATCAGGAATCTATAAGAATTATAAATATATAAGGAACTAATAACAGAGTACTGAATACATGAAGCAAACACTGACAAAATGGAAATAAACAATTTAGTAATTATAATTGGAGATTTCAAGTTCCTTTTCTCAGCAGTTAAACTAGAAATAAAATTAATAATGATATAGAAGACATAAACAACAACCAACCAACTGTACCCAATTATTGATAACATATGTAGAAGATTACACAATGGTTTCAATCCACATGGAATATTTTCCAGGTAGATCATATGTTAAAGTATAAAACTAATCTCAGTAAACTTAAAAGGATTAAAACCATACAAAATATATTCTTCAACCATGATAGAACTAAATTGGAAATCAGATACAGAAAAATTTGGGCAACCTTCAAAATTTTGAAAAATATACTTCTAAGTAACACATGAGTCAAAGAAGAAATCACAAGGTTAATTAGAAAATAGTTTTTAAAAACCCAAACATACTAAAATGTATTAGTGCAGGTGATGCAATGCTTAGAAGAAAACTTACAGCATTGAATACTTAAATGAGAAAATTAGAAGATCTATAATCAATAATCCAAGGTAGAAAAAGAAGAGCATATCAAACCTAAAGTAATTACATGGAAAGAAACAATAAAGATCAGAGTGGAAATCAATAAAATAAAAGTAGAGAAAGAAATCAACAAAATCAAGTCAATTCTTTGAAAAGAATAAAATTGATACAACTTTCACTGGACTGACAAAGAAAAAAGAGATAAAATATAAATTACTAAAATCAGGAATGAAAAGGGGATATAATCACTGATTTGACAGAAATTGAAAGAATTATGAGAGTATTATGAACTACTTTAGGCCAGCTAATTACACAATGTAGATGAAATGGAAAGATCAATAACAAATTAAAAATTGAATTAGTAATTAAAAATTTTCCCACAAAGAAAAGCCCAGGCCCAGATGACTTTACTGGTAAATTTTCTCACATCTTTAAGGAAGAAGATATACCAATCCTACACAAACTCTTTCAGAAAATATATGTATTAGTTTGCTAGGGCTGCCATAACAAATTATCCCAAACTCAATGGCTTAAACAACAGAGATGTATTATCTCACAGTCAGGAGACTAGATATGTGAGATCAAGGTGTCATCAGGGCTGGTTCCTTTTGAGGCTGTGAGGGAAGGGTATGTTCAGGCCTCTCTCCTTGGCTTGTAGATGGCCTGTTTTCTCCCTATGTCTTCACCTTGTCTTCCCTCTGTCTGTGTCTCTGTGCAAGTTTCTCCTTCTTATAAGGACACCAGTCATATTAGATTAGGGCCCATCCTAATGATCTCATTTTAAGTTGATTACCTCTGTGAAGACCCTATCTCCAAATTACGTCACAATCTGAGGTATTAGTGGTTAGTACTTTAACACATGAATTTGAGGAAGGGACACCATTCAACCTATAACAATGGGTAAGGAACAAATACTTTGCAACTCATTCTATGAGGCCAGGATTATCACCCAGATATCAAAGACAGATATATCAGAAGTAGAGAAAACAAAAGACTAACATCCCTCATGAAAACTGATACAAAATTTATGAAAATAATATTAGCAAACTAAATATATAAATACATATATTTTGATTACACATGATGACCAAGTGGGAATTACTTCAGGAAAGTAAGGTTGATTTAACATCTAAAAATAAATTAATATTATATATCATATTAATAGAATGGACAAAAAAAATCACATGATCATCTCAGCAGCTACAGGAATGGCATTTGACAAAATTCAATACCTATTCATGATTAAAAAACAAGCAAACAAAAACACTCTCCACAAAGTTCTAGACAAAAACTAGAACTTCCTTAACCTGTTAAAGAGCTTCTAAAAAATCCTACAGCTGTGTTATACTTACGGGTGAAAGACTGAAAGCTTCCTTCCTAAGATCAGGAACAAGACAAGGATGTCTGTTCTTACCACTTCTATTGAAAAAGTTACTGAAGCCTTTACCCAGGAATAGGCTAGAGCAAGAAATAAAAAACAACCAGGGGACTTCCCTGGTGGCTCAGTGGTTAAGACTCTGAGCTCCCAATGTAGGGGGCCCGGCTTTGATCCTTGGCCAGGGAACTAGATCCCACATGCATGCCACAACTAAGAGTTTGCATGCCACAACTAAGGAGCCTGCATGCTGCAACTAAGGAGCCCATGAGCAGCAACTAAGGAGCCCACGAGCTGCAACTAAGGAGCCGGCACAACCAAATAAAAAAATAAATAAGAAGGCAACCAGATTGGGAAAGGAAGGAGTAAAATTGTCCTCATTCACAAAATATGAATATTAAAAATCTGATGGAATGTACAATAAACCTACTAAAAGTAATAAGTTTATCAACATTGCAAAATACAAGCAACAATCTACAAATTAAATTAAGAAAAAAATTCCAGTTGCAATAGTCATAAAAAGAATAAAACACTTAGAGAAATACTAACAAAATAAGTGTAAGAGCCATACACTGAGAACTTTAAAAGATTTAAAGAAATGGAGAGACATATCATGTTTACAGGTTGGAAAACTCAATATTGTGAAGACGGCAGTTCTGCCCAAATTGATCTGTAGATTCAAATGCAATCCCTATCAAAATCCAGCAGGATTGTCTTTATAGAAACTAGCAAGTTGATGCTAAACTGTATATGAAAATGCAAAAGACCTGAACTAGCCAGTATAAGTTTGAATAAGAAAAGCAAAATTAAAGGATTCACATTACCTCATATCAAAATTTACTATAAAATACAGTAATCAAGAAAGTGTGGTATTGGTATAAAGATAGATATATTAATCAATGGAACAGAATAGAGAGTACAGAAATATACCCCTACATTAATGGACAATTTATTTCTATTTTCAACAAAGATGCCAAGACAATCTGCTGTAGAAAAGATAGTTTTTTCAACAAATAGTGCTAATACAATTGAATATGAATATGCAAATAAAAAAATTTAGTCCTTACCTCACACTGTACACAGATATTAACTTAAATGGAGCATAGACTTCAGTATAGATCTAAAACTATAAAATGTCTAAAAAAGCACAGGAGAAAATCTTTGTGGCCTTGGGTTAGGCATAGAGCTCTTAGATTTGACACGAAAAGCAAGATCCATAAAAGAAAATATTGATAAATTGCACTTCAACAAAATTTAGAACTTTTGCTCTTCAAAAGATACCATTAAGAAAACAAAAAGATAAACCATACACATGGAGAGATTATTTGCAAATCATGTATTTGATAAAGGATTTGTATCCTGATCAAGCAAAGAATTCTTACAGCTCGATAATTAGAAGGCAATTAAAAAATATGCAAACAACTTTAGTAGGCATATCACCCGAGAAAAAATATGAATGGCTCAACATCGTTACTCATTAGGGAAATGCAAATGAAATCACAACAAGATACAACTCACTGTCCACCCACTATAAGGGCTACAGTTAAGAAACTGACAATACCAAGTGTTGGCAAGATTCTAAAATGGTGTAACATTTGGAAAATAGTTGGAAAGTTTCTTAAAAAGTTGAACATATACTCCACAAATGATACAGCAATTCTACTCCTAAGTACCTACTGAAAAGGAATGAAGGCATATGTCTACAAAAAGACTATATGTGAACATACAAAGTAGCATTATTCATAATAAGAAAAAACTGGAAATAACCCAAATGTCAATCAACTGGTATACAGATAAACGAAATGTGGTATACCTATACAATGGAATGCTATTTAGTACTGAAAAGGAACAATCTACTAATACTACAACATGGATAAACTTCAAAGTCATTATGCTAAATGAAAGAAGCCAGACACAAAAGACAACATATTGCATAGTTCCATTTATATGAAATTTCTAGGAAAGGCAAATCTACAGAACTAAAAAGCAGATCACTGGTTGCCTTAGCCTGACGTTAGAATGAGAAGTAACTAACTGTAAAGGGACACAAGGGAACTTTCTGAGTTGATGGAAACGTCTTAAAACTGGATGGTTGCATTACTCTCCCCATTTGCAAAAATAATTGAACAGTATACTTACCTTGGGTGAATATTTTTGCATGTACACTGTATCTCAAGAAAGCCTTAAAACTAATTAAAAGTAAAAAATATTAGAAAAGAAATAGAAAAGTTAACATATGTGTATTAAATGCTGCAGAAACAAGTGATGTGGGAATGGGCACAGAAAGATAAAAAAAACATTTTAAAGGAATAATGACAATTTGCTAAAACTTGGAAGGGGCGGGTGAAGGAGAGAAAGGAATCAAAAGTTCCACGAGTTTTCACATCGAAGTTGGTAGGCTGAGGTGCTCTCAGGGTGTAAAATATCACTAGGAAGTTTGATTGAGTTTGACAGGCAATTGGAAATGCAACCCTGGAGCTCAGACAGATGTCTGTTTGAAGGGTGCAGATTTGGAAATCATGCACAGGGCTGAAATCATGGGACTGAATGAGAACATGAGAAAATTAAGAGCAAGCGGGACAGGACAGAACCTTGTAGAATACACATCCCCAAGGAGCCTGAGAAGGAAGAGTTAGAAGGAATTTAAAGAAAGAAATATCTCCTATGCCTTCATGAGACTCACCTGCCAGAAAGTCGCAGTGGTGGCCAACTCACAAAGAAACACAGGCAGGAAGGAGGCAACAAATCCAAGACTGTAGTATTTCTAGAAAATAAAGATAGAAACATGATACATTTTGCCGTTTTTGCCTCACTCCTTAAAATAGATTTATTAAGAGGTAGGATGGGGCTTCCCTGGTGGCGTAGTGGTTAAGAATCCACCTGCCAATGCAGGGGATACGGGTTCAAGACCTGATCCAGGAAGATCCCACATACTGTGGAGCAACTAAGCCCATGCGCCACAGCTACTGAGCCTGCATTCTAGAGCCCACAAACCACAACTACTGAGCCCGTGTGACACAACTACTGAAGCCCATGAGCCTAGAGCCCGTGCTCTGCAACAAGAGAAGCCACTGCAACGAGAAGCCCGTGCACTGCGATGAAGAGTAGCCCCTGCTCGCCGCAACGGAGACCCAATGCAGCCATAAATAAATAAATAAAAATTTTTTTTAAAAAGAGGGGGGTGAACAAAGTAAAAGGGTCATGTTGCTAACAAAAATAGAAATGAGGGTTTTTTTTCATGATAACCAGGAAAAATAAGGAAACAATGAACAGGCTGGGGAAACAACATAAACAGGCCTGAAAGAGTTAAGCAACCTTGGTTATTCTTTAGCTGTTACTACCAACAAGCACTTGTAGCTAGACTTGTCCTTCCCAAAGCTGATTACTCTCTGACTCCATACAAATTACCCTTTGCACCTGGCATTCCTTCTCCCCCTACACTCCCTTGTAGCACTCTTCATTTCAGAAAGAAGGTCACGGGCCGATAACTTCAGGGACACCAGACACAGGTGCTGAGCCACCTGATGCCAGCTTTGGCCATGAATTTGCAGAAGAAAAGAAATGCAAGACCTTCACTACTTTTGATCCTTATCATATACCCCAGACTGTGAGCCCCACATATAAAATCTTCTTTGATTCCCCAAGGAGGGGGGCACAGTTCTTGAGGCGTTAGCCTAGTGTCTTCCCTTTGCCCGGCAAAGAAAATAAAAAGCCTCTCCATTTCTTATCTTCCAATTCTGTCTCCGTATTTTTATTCAGCATCAATGCACAGGGAGCCAGATTTGGCAACAGTCAGGGGAAGGAGAGACAAAGGTGCTCCCTCTTCAGCTGCGTTTTTGCTTTCTGCAGTTTCAGTGACATAGAAAATTCCAGAAACAGAAGTTTCAAATTGCGAGCTGTTCTGAGTAGCCTGATGAAATCTCTTGCAGTCCTGCTATGTCCTAGCGTTTGAGAATCACCCCTTTGTCCAGCCATCTACAGGGCGTAAAAGCTACCTGCCCGTTAGTACAGGAAAAACATAGCATATGTAGGGTTCACCCCTCTCCGGGGTTTCGGGAATCCACTGGGGACCTTGGCACGTATCACCCATGGGTAAGGGGGGATTACTGTACATGGAGAAGAGAAAAAGGGGGAGATGGGGAGTTTTATGTGGGGCTAGCTGACATTTTCTAGGTGCTGTCCCTGCCCCAAGAGGATTCTCTGGCCCTCATCCCTGTCTCCACCCTGCTTCCCGTCCAGAGCCTGACCTTGTTTGCTGGGACAGCGACACAGCCCTCTTCTTGCATCTGCACCCCTCCAGAGCAAGCACCCACCGCTCTGCCTGTGGCCTCCCTCCCCTCGTGGGGCGGGGCGGGTGGGGGGGGGGGTAGGGTGGCCCGGCCAATAGCTCCTCGGATCTTAAAGAGGTGCAGGTCCTCAATATAATCATCAAAAACCCAGTGATAAATGCAATACGTAGCCTGTAACCACAGCTTTTGGCTATAAAGGACATTATTGGAACAATTGAAAAAACCTGAATCTGGATGGTGGTAATATGTCAATGTTAATTTCCCAATCTTAATGATTGTATTGTGGTTATGAAGGAGGATGTCCTTCTTTGTAGTCACTCAAATATTTGGAGTGATGGAGAATCATGTGGGCAACTTACCCTCAAGTGGTTCAGGGGAAAAAATGTTCTTTGTACTATACTCGCAACTTTTTTATAAATTTGAAATCGTTTCAAAAAAATTTTAAAGCTGTATGTTAGCGGGTAGGTTGGTTTGACGTTATGTTTTTGGTTTATGGGTTAGTAGGACCAGACAGAACGAAACCAGCGAGGGAGGTATGGAAGGAGGGAGGCTGGGTGCCCTGTTTCCCCGTCCTGGTTTTTGTAGACCTCCGGGTTGAAAGACTGGAAGTAACCCTGTTTGCCTTGCAAAATGTAAACAAAGACATTACCCTTAAACAGTGTAATAATGTGCTTTCCTCATCCCAGCTAACAGCAGGGGCTCCCGCAATCAGACCAAATAAGTTTAGTCTCTGTCGCTGGGGAGGTTCGCTCCCACAAAGAAAGGCAATTTAAGTAATTAGCCAGGCTTAAGGCAGGATCATCTGCTGGGCTCAGCGGGGTCCAGGGAGCATATAGCTGGTGGGGGAGGAAAACGATCCTTCATTTTCACACTCCCTTCTTCTAACCCAAACTTTCAAAGCATGCTCAGAGAGGACACTTTTCCTCAGTGCCTCTCAATGTCGCAGATGGAAAGAAGCTGATGGCTGAGCCAAATGAGCACATGCTGACAAGCTGTTGTTTCCTCTTCGGGTTTGTTTGCTTCCCAATGAAAACAGCTCTGTTGTTTTTCCAGACTGTAAAAGTGATCCATGCTTGTTATTAAAACAAATTTAGACAATAACAAATAAGGGTAGTTGGGGCTTCCCTGGTGGCGCAGTGGTTGGGGGGCCGCCTGCCGATGCAGGGGACGCGGGTTCGTGCCCCGGTCCGGGAGGATCCCGCATGCCGCGGAGCGGCTGGGCCCGTGGGCCATGGCCGCTGGGCCTGCGCTCCGCTACAGGAGAGGCCGCAGCAGTGAGAGGCCCGCGTACCGCAATAAATAAATAAATAAATAAATAAATAAGGGTAGTTATAAAGTAGAGAGTTAAAATTATCTATAGGGACTTCCCTGATGGCACAGTGATTAAGAATCCGCCTGCCAATGCAGGGGACAGGGGTTCGATCCCTGGTCCAGGAAGATCACACATGCTGTGGAGCAACTAAGCCCGTGCACCACAACTACTGAGTCTGAACTCTAGAGCCTGCGAGCCACAACTACTGAAGCCCTCGCGCCTAGAGCCCGTGCTCCACAACAAGAGAAGCCACCACAGTGGGCAGCCCGTGCACCGCAACGAAGAGTAGCCCCCACTCGCCACAACTAGAGAAAGCCCGTGCACAGCAACGAAGACCCAACGCAGCTAAAAATAAATAAATAAATAATGCATTAAAAAAAAAATTATCTATAATCTTCCCAACCAGAGAGAGCTATGGTTCATAATTTAGTGTATTATCCTTCACGTTTATATAATTATAAATAAAAATATGGTTATAGTAAACTAGCTGCATTATAACCATTATAATCTTTGTTTTCCTCTTACTCTATCATGGGCATCTTTACATGTTAATAAATATATATTCGTGATGTCACAGCACAAAGAATCCTTTGCCCAGACAACCCAATAGAAAAGTGGGCAGAAGACTTTAGTGGTCTTTGGGGGCAATGCCCAATAAATACTAAAAGAATGCTCTAGTCATCAGGAAAATTCAAATTAAAACTACAATCACCCACCAGAACAGCTAAAGTGAAAGAGACAGATAAAAGCACATGGTGGCAAGCATGTGAAGCAATTAGAACCGTCACGCAGTGCTGGTCGGTTGTAAATTGGTACAACCGCTTTGGAAAACTGTTTGGCAATATCTCCGTAAACTAATCATACGTATATGTAGAGTTCAGCAGTTCTAGTCTTAGGTAAAGAGAGAACAGACGTACATATACTTCTTCACTGAAACACAGGTACAAGAATGTGCATAGCCTCACTATTTATGATAGCCCCAAACTGGAAACAACCAAATGTCCAGGTATTGTAGAACAGATGTGAGACAGGCTGGGACCTGGGACCCTTTGCTGCAGTGCTTGCCCCTGGACAAACATCTCCTCAAGCAACAGAATACAAAGAAACTATAAGGGACCAAAATAACTGCACTCATGCCCAGTCGGGGCAAATTATGAACGAGATACAAAAAGACCAAATCCACCTGCCACTTCTGAGGAGCCAGGAGCAAAGGCAGGGAACTTCGCATGATCCCTGCGCACAGCACCACCGAAGGGGTGGGCAGACCCCCTAAGCCACCACTTCAGCCCGACCCCTGGACACACCTCTACCCTCACCCCATATAAGGAACTAGTTTGCACCCCCCCACACACTCAGGGAGTGAGCAAGGGAAACTGTTACTTGTCTGTGCTCCCTCCTGCTTCAGCACCAGTCTCAATAAAGCCTTGCCTGAATTTCTTGTCTGGCTGCTTTTATCAATTTCTACTAATTAAAGAGTCCAAGAACCCTGGTTGGGGGGCTTCCCTGGTAGTGCAGTGGTTAAGAATCCGCCTGCCAATGCAGGGGACACGGGTTCGAGCCCTGATCTGGGAAGATCCCACATGCCATGGAGCAACGAAGCCCGTGCGCCACAACTACTGAACCTGTGCTCTAGAACCCGCGAGCCCCAACTACTGAGCCCATGCGCCGCAACTACTGAAGCCCATGCACGTAGAGCCCGTGCTCCACAAGAGAAGCCATCACAATGAGAAGCAAGTGCACTGCAACGAAGAGTAGCCCCTGCTCGCCACAACTAGAGAAAGCCCGCGAGCAGCAAGGAAGACCCAATGCAGCCCCCCCGTTGGTAACAGGTGAATTGTAGTATATCTATAATGGAATACTATACAATAGTGAGAATGAATGGATGCCAACTACACATAACAACATGGATGACTTTCACAAACATAACATAGAGAAAAAGAAGCCAGCCACAGAAGATTACACACTGTGAAATTCATTTATAACAACATCAAGAGCAAGTTTACTAACCATGATTAGGTCAGGATAGAGGTTATCCTTCTCAGGGGATGGGGACTGCAGGGGGGAACATGGGGACTTCTGCGTAATGGTAAACTTGTCTTTCTTGATTTGGGTACTGGAGAGAGAAGTGTATTCACTAAAGTTTATCAAGCTGTGCCCTTAGGA